AATAATGATAATGTGTGTGTGTGTGTATGTGTGTGTGTGTGTGTGTGTGTGTGTGTGTGTGTGTGTGTGTGTGTGTGTGTGTGTATGTGTGTTAGTAATATCAAGCTATGGTTGACATTAGTTGAAATTCAAAAAGTGCATTATTGAATTTCAAGTGTTTCGGAAGGTTCTGTGGCTGTCTGTCCAATCAACTCTCACTCCTATCGGAGATAAACTTTGACAATAGAAAGTACCACCTCTGCTTAGCAAGCAGTTGAGTGAGCAGATAAAAGCGAACCCCACCATTATTTAATTAAACAAATCAGACATTAACTATTTTGTGTACTATTTTTCTATGCTGTTTCATATCAATGCTGCCAACATTTCTAAAAGTATAGAATGTTATGCAGTTGTTTTGGTTAGTTTGGTTTATTTTTATTTTTTTTGCAATTTTACAAGGGAGCCAAAGAAAAAAACAAAACAACAACAAATTATAAACAAAATATCAAAGACAAAAAGAAATGAATGTCGTTTGCAAGAAAACAAACTCTTTGCAAACATTTCAAGTCAATATTAGTAATAAATCTGTTTTAAAAAAACCTTCGTTTTGATCTTTAAAGCAAATTTATGTGTTGTTTTCCTGTCAACAACATTCAGATTTTCGGTTCTACTGTAAAATTGTAAAAGCTGCATACAATTATTATAATGGATTTTAAAAACTGACGGCACAATGACCACCTATCAAGGTCAAGCAAAAAAAAATAGAAAAGGTGCCAACATAAGCGTACAGATTTAGCGTCTCTATCAACACAATTGGCTTATTAAAAAGGTAGGACCTCCGAGTTTAAACATCCGCCTTCGAAGGGACAGAGCCAAAAGGAAAACTCGTGTAAAGTGGGTTTCCCAGAGCCACAATGTCGGACCAAGCTAACGCTCGAACTCCCTGAACCCGCCATCTCACGATTACGAGCCCGGAAGCCTAACCCCTAGACTATCGACACCACGAAGGTCAATCGAGTATAATGGTTATTATTAAATAACATTTTCTAGCGTAGCTCTTGGGTAGTTGAGGACAAGGACGGCGCTGACATGTCCAACTTCATTCTTTCCCTTTGTTTTTTTTTCTTTTTCTCTCTATCTGTTTTTTTCTTTCTTTTGGTCTATCTATTGTATCTCTTCAATGCTCTATATGACCGATAGTGTTTCCTTTAAAAAAAAACACTAATATCTCACTGTGTCTGTATGTTTCTTTTTACTTTAAAAAAACCCAACTAATAGCCTGGCGTCTGTGATGTAGTCGTTTAGCTCTTCACCGTTTTACGAAAGAGACTTCAAGTTTGATTCCAGAGTGGGAAGACTTTATTTTTTATTTTAATTCTAAAGATAATTACTTATTTCTTAAAAATGAAGTGTCTCAGTTTTTTGGGGTGTTTTTTTTTGGGGGGGGGGGAGGGGGATGTTGCATTTTTCTCAGACCAAGTTCACACGAACCCCTTCCCCGCGCCCTGAATGATCCTTTAATAATAATTGTATTGGTGGATGTAATAAAACACCTTTATTAGCTACAGCATTTGAATAAATAAATAAATAAAATAAAACGACAAATAATACAACACACTCTAATCAAACATCTGTTATCCTTATCTCCCTCCCTCTTACTTGTGTTTGTCACTCTATTGTAACAACTCAAATCTTCGGCACTTACAAGACCTAATTATTTTGAAAATGATGTTAAACTTTTACAAAAACAATGAAACACACCTGATTTAGTAAGTACAGGCCCCAATGTTGCTAAGCAGGCCACGCCCCCTAGCAACATACAGCAACAGTAGACTGGTTTCCGGCCGAGTCTGTCAAGAAGCAAGTGGGCGACTACGAAGCCTGCCAGCTCCATGATGGTGAGCAGTGTGAAGTTAAAGTACAGCTCACCCTCTAGCAGGGAGCCCACGTTTAGAGTCAGCCCGTAGTAACACACGTTGATAGCTAGCCTGGTGAAGGTGGGGAGGGGAGGATTTTTTAAAAATGTTATAAATTCTATTTCGTTTTATTAATTTACTTTTTTTAAACATTTACTTTATTATTTATTTCATTCTTTTTTGGTGTGTGTGTGGGGGGGGGGGGGGGGGAAATTATAATTTAGGGAGATCTAAGTGATTGTGTATGTGAGAGAGAAAGGTTGTGTGTGCGCTCTTCGGTTGTTGATTTTTGGGGGTGGGTGAGGGATTAAAAGCCAAAGGTCAAAGATTTGTTTGAGGAGATCAGTGGGAGGATCCAAAATGGCCAAAAATGTTAGAACTTTAAAAAAATAAAATTTTAAGGTAGCGAGTACTCACCGCGCTGACAATGTAAGGGGAGATAATTCCCCCGATCCTGCCCACCATGGAGCAAAGTCCCAAGCCAGAGTTACGCACAAACGTGGGCAGGAGTTCCGCAGTGAAGACAAACACCGAGGCGAAGCACACGGTGCAGCCGAACTTTCCAATGTTTGACAAGGTCATGTTGATCCAGGTCATGTCTTATGAAAATGAAAATAGCAATAATAATAATAATAAAAATAATAA